CATGTATAACAAAATCCCAGTAATAATAAGTCTGCCACTTGATCAATTTAAACGCGTAATTAAAAGAAGACTTTTGATTAAAGCATGTGACACCATTGCGGAATATCTCGACGACGCCGATACGTGGAGTTAATACTGTTGATACTCACGTAGGCTAAAATAAGACTGTTATACCTGTACCATGTTATATTGTAAACTGATATTTTAAAAGTAGAGCCGTGATAGCTCAGTGTGCGGGCGCTCGCCTTTAATTCAATATACTCGAGCAACCTGAGTTCGATCCCCGGTGCCGGCACCAATGAAGTTTTTTAACTTTAAGTGCTGACTTATCACGTGCTCCGCGGTGAAGGAAAACATCGTGAGGAAACCTGCATATTTTCGAAATAATAACAAAAAAAAATATTTCGAAGATATGTGAAGTCCGCCAATCCGCAGTGGGGCCGCGTAGTGGACTATGCCCTCTGTATAGAGGAGGCCTTTGCCCAGTAGTGGGACATGTATAGGCTGATACTTTACTCTTCTCAACAGAAGATGTTTTCCGAACCAGTCGTTACTTACTTTTTTTATGTTAAAAGTTGCCATGCGGGCAGACGGTTCACCTGATGTTAAGTGAATACCGCCGCCCATGGACATCTTCTACACCTCGTACGTTCCAGATGCGTTGACAACCTTTTGAAAATTGGGCTCCAGTCACCTCACTCACCAGATGAAACGCTTAAGTATTATACTTCTACTTTACGCCAGTCTTCTGTGAAGTCGTGGTACTTACCCGGACGAGCCTGCACATTCGAGCCGAAGGCTGCTGCGTGGCACTACCACCGCTAAAACGAACTGACCAATTTATGTATCAATTTTTATGTAAAATTTGAATAAAGATATTGTGAGTCTGAGTTTTACTTCATAACTTCGTTCTCGATTGAAATAAAGCTTTAGAAATTGATTAATTGCTGGTCACTAAAAATATGGCTCAAGTATGAGGAAGGAAATAATGTTTGATTGTCAGAACCTTAATCTCTCCCTTGACCAGGGATTTTGTTAACCGTTCGAAAGGTAATTAAAGTAAAATTAAACGTGATGAAATCAACAAAACATTCTTTCAAACATTCTTCTAAATTTTCATTCTTCGCTTCATCGTTTTTTTTAAAATCTCTAATAGACTTAAAGAGCTAATGCGTTTTAGCATCTATTAATGTTTACCGTCAGACACAGCGGTCATGTATTACCCACTCTTGATATAACATATTGCGATTACAATAACTTGAATCGCGTAAAGAAAATCCACCGTTATCTTTCCACAACACAAAACAACTACGCTCAATTTGTCACCAGCCAGCAACACATATATCATACCATTGGTAAAACATTTAAATTCATAATATTATGCAGCCCATTTCTGACAAACAATGTTTTTATATCATAATAAAGTTCAAACAATTTAATTCGCTGGAAGTTTAGACATAGACATACAATTAAGACAAATAATTTATTTACCACCACATCGATTCATATTCTTAAAAAAATACATTTGAACTAAGCGTCTTATAAGTTTTCCCGTAGATAATGCGCACAGAAAATAAATGGAATGATTTTTCGTCGTCTATCTTTCAGTCCGAATAGAGTACTGTCTTCAGGCTTGAGGTGGCTTTTACTGAGGTAAACCTACTACTGCATAGGGCCAGGATTTTCACTTAGACTAAAAGCAAGGTCTGCGATTTTTCAGTCAATGCAAAAATTTCAAGATATTCAGATCTCTCTTTCCCTAATAAAAGAGTCTCTATTCTTATCTACCACCAGTCCCAATTTGGACCCCAGTTTGTTGCTTATCTTGAACCAATCCAGAAGGGCAGAGCCAGAAGTGCCAGAAAGAATCAGTGGCACACCACTTTGTCCACACGACTTAAAAGTTAAAACGATAGTGATCGCAAATAAGTACGTAGCATAAATTGAAATGGAAAATGGCTTCCAACCGGGTTTACTATCTGTTAGCACGTCAAAGCACTAGCCGTGACGGTCCAACTAAAACAAGCGGGCAGCGTAAATAATCCCGCAAATCAAAAAACACCGACCCCGCGTTTAATACAGCAAAGAGCGCAGCATTTACGCGACCCACATTGCAATATTAAAGGATAACAAAGAAAAGGTCTAACAAGGAGCGTCCTTTGTACGCCCGCTGCCTCCGCGGTCACATATTTCAGATTCAAAATTACACGACGCGAGCGGAGCAACAGAGCTGCGACGTTCCCCGCTCCGTTCTCTCCGGCCGCTGATCTCGCCCGACCAACACTCTGTTATTATTTAGACTGTGTACAGCCCTTGTGTAAGTGAAAAATTGCTCAGTGCCGTCTGTTTTAGAGTGTTTTATTTGGAGTTTTGCTTGAGTTCCGGACCTCTATTACAGTAATTTGTTATTGCTGGTTTCCAAGATGCGAATCTATTTTCAGACGAAATGAAATTTGGATCAGCAGTACTATTGATAACTTATAATTTTTTTTTATTGAAAGTTTTGTCCTTAATTATATTTTCATAAAAAGCGAAGTGTGAGAAGATGATGCTTAAAAAATTTATAAAATGACACATAAACCTTGAGTTACGTCTTTCCCAATAAAGCGTTTATAAGTTTTAAATGAATTCTTAAAATAATTATAAACTAAACCTTATTATTCTTTTGAATCCTACCTTTTTTTGATTACGTTTTTTTTGATTACACTTAAAAGTAAAGAAATCACATAAGATTAATTAAAGTTAAAATTTATTTCCTGTAGTTGATCCATACACTATTTAGTTATATCAATACCGAAAATTATTTAGACTGTCAAATGCATCAGTGAGTTCTGTTAAGAAAAGTAATTCTATAGTTAGTAAAAAGTGGAAGTTATTTTCACTTGTTTATATCTGTTTTGGTAACGACCGCAGTGAGTTGGCTAAATAACAGCACCATTATGACACAGACATTTTTTATTATAAATATTAATTGCACATAAGAACATTTCATACAAAAATACATTTTCAATTAAAAATATTCCCATTAAAACAAAATATAAAACCGCAGTACAGATAGATCCAAATAGAATTAATATAAGATAAAAAATTTTGTAGCAAGCTTAAAATCCATTCAAAACGAAGTAATACAATAGACGTGCGAAATTACGAATAAAACCAAATCAGATGTCAAGGGCGTTTGTTTAACTTTATATACTTTTTATCATTGGAATATCAAAAAAAAAACAAACGATCGTCGTATTTATTACATCATCACATAATAATCGAAAATTTAATTAGATAAAGCAAAAATAATCGCGCTCTAGTGCCTTAAAAGTTTTTGAATGATTTATAATAATTAATTATTATCGACAATATATTTTATTTATATAAGATTCAACAATCTAGCTTAACTTTTATATACAATTGTGATGGTACATGGTAACGATTGATATTGGAATTCAAAAATAGAATCGATATCGATAGAAACGTTTTAATAGGAAATTTATCGACACATTAATATTACACGTCTCCAGAGCCTAATGACAAATGACAAAAAGTTGACAATCACATACAGAAAGAAAAATCTAGAGAAATATTCGAACAGAGAACGTATCGGAGTTTATTTTAACTAATAATCGGCATTGCTACTTATAAAAAACAAATATTATAAGAGAGAAACTAAACGCTAAAACATAATAATATTTGCCTAATCGAATCAACATGCACACATTCCAGATCAGATATCGTTAAACAATTGTACAGAATCTGTCTATGGTAACTTGTGGACCTAAACACTACGTTATGATAAACTAAACGGTTTATATTTGTGACATGGTTTTCGAAGGATCAAGGAAGCAATTGTCTTAGATATGAAAATACAATATTCTAGAGGACGCAGAATTACGTTAAAATATAGTGATTTAAATTATATCAAATCTTACATCTATCCAAGATAACATTCCCACTTTTTTTGATTGGCAGAAATAAAAAATATGCAGAGAAATCTTTGTTGATAGGGAAGTTATCTGCAGACGATTTGTGAGACAATTTCCAATGAACCATTGCAACACTTGACTTCGCATCGCTCTCAATATCACATATCAACGGTTCGGTGTTGCCACCGCACAATAATAAGAACGTTTTGTTCATATACTTATAATTTACAAATATTTTGTTATATTACAATTGGTATTTGAACAATGTATCGACCACAGGTTATCGTATTATTACGTTAATAACATTATTACATAACATACGGAGACTTGTAAAGCTCGATGGATATCTAATTACATTTTTATGTATCTTTAAAAATATAACATTGAAATTGATCGAGTAACGTAACTGACTGATAAAAATCAATCAAACAGTTTACAGGAAATTTCGGCTATAGTCAGTGTTGTACATTTCAAATTGATCATCAACAATACATTTCAAATTGTCATTGATCATCACGCGCTTGAACAATACCACAGAATTGATTTCATACCTGTGATAGTGTAAGTGATGATGTTTAAGGGTGTGATATATCTCTAAAACCGAGCTTAACGAGTTTCCACGGCAATTACACGACGTTACTTTACAAAATGGAATAGAAGTCACCTAACTATTACGAGTTTCAACGTGGTCCTGTTTTGATATTGCGATAACTAGGAAAATTGCGACCGTATATCACTAAATGTTGAACTTACCGCTACAATGGTCGGATCGAGCGCTTCAAAGGCGCGCCCGAAGCGATCATCATCAGTATCATACAAAGCGATCGCCGGCAACGGGTCGAGTTCAAATTGGTGATGCGACAAGATACGACCACGACAATGATACGACAATCAATCGAATCGAATGGTCCCAAATGGAACGTCGGACGATCCGAACGGAACACAAAACAGCCCACATCTAAAAACGAATCGACTCTAACAAACGACGTGCCCGAATCGATAAATCCCGCGTCGAACGAGCCGCATCACCAAATCGAACGCGCGGCGGTGTTCACTCACGTGATAAGGTAACAGCGAGCGCTATGTGGAATGTTCCAGGAGCGGTTCGTGCTCGTGTTCGCGTTCGCGTTCGCGCTCGTTCGGCGGCTCGACGACGGCGAATTCGGCGCGCGAGGTCACCTCGCCCTCCTCGTTGCAAGCGAGCGGCGAATATAGAACGCCGCGGACGGCCGCCTTCGGACGGCGAACGCTGCGCATCTGTTGGGAACGCTCCGTGTAGAAAGTAGCAGCCTATATTTGTCCCATTGTTGGGCAAAGACCTCTTCTGTACAGAGGGTATTAGGGTGCACCCACCTTCGAAATGTTTTTTTACCTGACTGCGCCAGAAAGAGGTTTACGTTTTTCGAGAGTATGTATGTATGTATGTATAATTGTTTGGCACTCTCTGCAGCCTGAACGGCTTGATGGATTTTAGCTTCAGAGGTGTCGTTAGATTCTTATTTCCTGTGAGAGTGACACTAAATATATCAAAATAAAAAAATTACACAGAAACGCAGTCGGGTTTTTTAGCTTTTTAAATTATATTCTACTTGTTTATAAATAATCACTTGACATTAGGTAACTGTTTGTTAATCGGGAATCTATCCAGATCCTGAGAACGAGATGATGAAATTCAGGGAGGATAGATTTGGACAGACGAGTTCAAATGCTAATAATGTATTCTAAAGGTTTCTTCCTATAACGAGCCACTTTGTCTAATAAACTATCTTCTTAGGGAGCGAACAGAGCTCCAAGAAGCTCTATTATTTCAAAATCTTATTTAAACAAAGAAGCATTACAAATATCTCTTCTTGAACGGCTCGATTCAATTACAGTATAATCCGTTGAAATTAAACAAGACGTTATCCTAGGACATTGCTTCATTACTTAAGACGAAACAATAGTTGAATGCCATTCTTCAAGGAGTGCCCTACAACGCTGGCGGCAGATTCGACTGGCGACAATAAAGAGGAACGGGCGACGTTGTTTTGTAGACTGTACCTAAATATAGGGACCCGAATTACGTTAGAATATTCTAGATGGTTTATCCTTGCGTTTCTATATCTCTAATTGATTCTTTTAACATCGACTTGTGTACACTAGCCTACTCTATCGACAGACGATGCCTTACCGTTTTCGTTAAACCCTGTTTCCTAGCCAGGCTTGATGACATTGTTAACACGCCATTCAAAAGTAATAATATCCTAAGATACATTGGATAATGAATGATTGTATATAAAAAAAACAGCAGAGACTATCCGTCATGTCAGATATGCGCCTTCAGTCAGTAGACTATGTAAAGCTGCATCGGGTACAGGGCTCGTGGAAAGGCAACGTTTCCACGAGATAGAGCCTAGTTAAGCGGAGACACGCATGTGAACATGTACGCATTAACGAAATGTGGAGAACATCATCATCATCATCATTTCAGCCTGTTTGAGTCCACTGCTGAATATAGGCCTCCCCCATAGACTGCCCCCATAGTACGATCCTCAACCACCTGCATCCATCGATTTCCCGCACATTTGCAAATCCATCTAGTGGGGGGTCGTCCTACACTGCGATGACCAGTACGAGGCTGCCACTCGAGAACCTTTCTTCCCCAACGGTTATCAGTTCTACGAGCTATATGGCCGGCCCATTGCCACTTCAGCTTGCTAATCCTCTGAGCTATGTCGGTTATCTTAGTTCTACTGCGGATGTCTTCGTTACGAACTCTATCACGCAGAGAAATACCAAGCATAGCCCGCTCCATAGCTCGCTGAGCGACTTTGAGCTTCTTCATACGGCCAGCAGTGAAGGACCACGTCTCGGTTCCGTAGGTCATCACTGGCAACACACATTGATTGAAGACTTTAGTCTTCAAACATTGAGGTATATTGGACGAGACGATTTGCCGAAGTTTCCCGAACGCTGCCCATCCGAGTTGGATTCGCCGATTGACCTCTGCGTCGAAGTTGGACTTACCTAGCCGGACTAACTGTCCTAGGTAAACGTACTCGTCAATAACTTCGAGCTCAGTGCTCCCAACAACAACCGGTATAGGCGTGACATGGACATTAGACATGATCTTCGTCTTGTCCATGTTCATCTTAAGGCCCACCCGTTGGGCATGGACATGAAGCATAGAAATGGTAGTCAGTTAGCAGCGTCAACATAAGAGTATAAAGAATCATGGAATCGGCACAACACGTGAATCATGTGGTAAGCGGTTTTAGCTATGTTGTTTACAACCTGCTCACATTTCCTGTGGGTCAAGCAAATGCTTGTCCCATGTGGGAATCGAACCCACGACTCACGACCCACGGCGTCTGCCTTCTGCGCTTTGTTTGATGAGTGTGGTAGCCGGGGCCTAGTTTATTAAAAGGTTCCGCAACCCTTCGGATCTTGCAAATATGGGTAGGAGTTCTAAACTAACATCCTATTAACCGCCTGCTCGCTCGCCACCTTCTCATATAAAAAATTGACAATACGAAAACGGGCGCATCTCACACCGACCTGCAACGCGAACAGCGCCGCGAGCAATACCGCCGCGGCCGCCGCGAACACCGCGAGCGTGACCGTCGAGAGAGGGGGCGCCGAGCGCTCGCTCGCTTCGGTGTGCAACGCGCCCCACTCAGCTATCCGCCGCTTGCCGGCCACCGAGGAGTTTATGCACTCGCCTGAAGCAAAGTCAAAGTGATAGTTTCTTCATTCAATGTAGGCTTATCTTATTGAACGTCAACTACCACCGTGGTGGTAGCCACTAAACTGGACCTATTCAGAGATGAACTGGCAAGAAGCTCTGCTCAGGTCTTGTTATGTTTTTTTTATTGTAAAAGTAATTGTTTTACTTTAAAATCGACAACAGCCTGGGGATGATCTGTCAACCGAAAATTTATTAGACATTTAAGAAACATCTAGACGAAAGGACAAATATAGTATACTAATTTAATTAGCCCGAGGTGGTAGGAGCGTACAGTAGTATCCTTATTACGCACTTACTATGCTCGAGAACGTAGGAGCTAACGAAGTGGTTTCCTGGAATATATGAAAGGTACTGTACCATTATCGGGATTGCAGTGGCAGCATTCGGACGTGGTCGAGGAGTTGGCGGGGATGCCCCGCTCCGAGCAGCAGGGCACACATTGATTGTTCAGCCTGCAAAAGAATGCGTCGTAAGATCGTGGCAAAGTCGAAACATCAACTTGTACAAGGAAATTAAACGGGCAAGTGTCAAGGCCTTCGTAAGAAAGGCGAAACAAAATTTTATTTTGACACAACTTTTTAAAAAATTCAGTTAATATAATGACGATGGGCCAATTTAAATTGGCAAAATCCTTATATAGCTTTATTTTGTTTTCTTTTTTAACTACACCATGTACCAAAGATTACGACCGGGAATATTTAATTAATACTTCATTTATGATTTGCTAAAATATTTTTATGAAGAATTAATTTATAAGTGAGTCATGAAAAACGATTGAAACCTAATTAAAATTGTTATTCCAATCTATTCGTTTTGAACAATGGCTTTCATTGAATTAAAATTTTTTTTATTACGTACATCACGTTAAAAAAAACATCTGAACGTTATATTTATTAAAAAGTTTTTACGGATTTCATCGCGTTCATTTTAAAATATAATCGAATAAATAGAAAAAGTCGAGTCATCCATGAATAGTTATTTTTTAATTTTCACACCATTAAATATTCAATATTTGTGAAACAATTATTTAGTAAAAAAAAATGTCACTAACTTTATGTTTTAACTCAGTTAAAAAGTTACGACATCATCGGGTCAATGTAATATAAACATTTAATAAATAATATAAAAAATACATTTCTTTCAAAAGTTACAACAATGTTTAAAAATAATCCACGTAAGACTAAGACAACATTGTTGAATGTTTTAAGAGCGTCATTTGCACTTATCGTACACAAACATCGGGAATAATCATCTGTAGGCCATACAAATAAACGCTCCGAAAATAAAATGAAACTCGACGCTACAAAGGGATCTTTCATTGCAATAAGTCGTAAAAGTCGAACGGAATCTTACAAACACATATAAAATCGAATGCCGCGCAAAATTGAGTTATAGTGACGCGTCCACACAAACACGTACAACTAATTCGATTCAGATCTGTTCACTTTCCTCGTTCTGGTCGAAACGCTCAAGGAAAACTGGCAATCTTTTAACCACTACAATATCTAAATCGAAAAAGAGGTTCCAGTTCTATTAAATAACAGCTGTGCCCGCAACTTTGTCCGCGTGGAATTTAAAATTACTTATTTAAAAAAAAAAAAACTGAAATAAAAGTAGCCTAAGTTACTCATTATTACATCAGCTATCTGTCAGTGAAAGTCCCGTCCAAACCGGTCCAGCCATTTCAGAGATTAGCCGGAACAAACAGGCATACAGACAGACAAAAATTGTAAAAATGTTATTTTGGTATATGTACACACGGTACACATACCAAAATATTTTTTTTTACATTTCACAAATTGCATTTCACATCCAAATGCATTTAGAAAAAAGTGGTTATTTTTATAATACAAACAGACACTCCAATTTTATTTATCTGTATAGATAACCCAAACTAAGAGCCGCGATAGCTCAGTGTCCGGGCACTCGCTTTTAACTCAATACACTAGAGCAACCTTAGCTTAAATCCCGGTGCTGGGACCAATGAAATTGTTAATTTTAAATTCTGATTTATCACGTTCTCAGCGGTAAAGGAAAACACTGTGTGAAATTGAAACAGCACGTTGTCGAATTAATTCGAAAAAAATCAATTTTATGATACCTGAAGTAGTGGTCTTTCCCTCAGGAGTGCTGTTTAATAATGTTTAACTCAAATACGGCGGATTAGAATACGGGGATCGAAGTCAGGTTGCTAGAGTATATCGAATTTAAGGCGAGCGTCCGAACACTGAGAAGTTTGTTAACTTTGAAATAACTAATTGAACATATATCCAAGATCAATTTATTTTTGCACCACCACCACCTACCGTTGTCCAAATTAAAATACTTTTATTCACAAGGTTGTCTGGAAGAGATTGCTCCTTAACGATAAGACCGCCTTATTGTTTCTACCTCTTAAATTTATACTTCTGTAACATTTCCTTTTATGTTTTATGGTGTTCAATCCTTACTTCCTTACTAATATTATAAAGGCGAAAGTTTGTATGTATGGATGGATATTTGTTACTCTTTCACGCAAATAGTACTGAATGAAACTTTACAATAATATAGCTTATACAGCGTGTCTTTACAGTCGAGACTATAAATGAACACACATATAGAGAATAACTTTTTAAAATTGTATTAAACATTTACATTCTGGAAACATCAATTTTACCGAGTTACAAAATTTTCCAAACCAAGAATTTTAGAACACCCTTACGTATAAAACTGTAACGTAAAGTTCATTTGTAAAGGTCACAAGCATATGAACGGGTGGAATGAATTTAAAAGAGACAAAACATACTGTTAGAAGGAGAGGCTTGTAATGCGACGCTGTGGCAACGAATGAAAAAGTCTCTGAATGTATGACTCAGTCAGTTGTAATTGTATAGGATGTTACAAATTTCGTTTCTTTTTTACTTAATTAGTTTATTTGAAAAATATTTTTTTGACGTTAATATTTTTTTATGATTATTGGCAAGTAGCGTTAGAGGTGTGTTCATTTATTGTCGCGATGGTAAAGACACGCTGTATATCAGAAACATAGGCTTTAATTTATATACATATTTTATGTATATCTGTCTTTCTGTTTGTATGTTACGCCTTCAGCCTATTCTACGCAGACGTAGTGACGGGCAGCAGCTTTTTTTTTTTTTTATGCGAAAAGTTGTCAAACGAGCAGACGGTTCACCTGATGTTAAGTGAATACCGCCACCCATGGACATCTGTCACACTCAAGGGTTACAGATGCGTTGACAACCTTTTGAAAATTGGGCTTCGGCTACCTCACTCACCAAACGAAAAGCGAAAGTATTTGTCATACTTCCACTTTACGCTGGTCTTCTGTGAGGTCGTGGTACTTACCCGGATAGGCCTGCCCATTCGTGCAACAGCCGAGGCTGCTGCGTGGCCCTACCACCGGTGAAAGCTAGTAAAGTATATGTAATAATCAAAGAGTATGGATTCGAACCTGTCCAGCCTTAGGGGCCTGGAGCACGCCGTGCAACTGAACCTGCCGGGTCCGGAACAGGAGCGGCATGAGGCATGACAAGAGCGGCACGTTCCACTGCTCTCCTCGTAGTACTGAGAGCCGAGGCACTCCATACATAGCCCGCCATCTAGCATGAAGCGGGGCGGGCAGGACTTGCAGTGCAACGGGCCGGAGCCGTCGCACTCGCGGCAGTAGTGGTGGCAGCGGCGACAGCCACCTACGCTCTGATAGAATCCTACACAGTACAAGTAAAACATTTTTAGGTAGGTAACAAAAATAAACTATAATATATGTAAATGTAATGTGTACTTATATTAATTATGTCACTCACTATAAGCTTTCTATTTGATTTTGTAAAATTCCCTGATACAATACATCTCCAGAATGCGAGGCCCAATGAAATTGGTGCATTATTGGAAAAATAATTTTTAAAATCGGTCTATAAAGAACAGTTCTTAGGTAACAAACTTAAAAAAAAAAACATAATACTCACACAAACGAATTGAAAAAACGAAAAAGAGCACAGAGCAATAATAATGACCCAATCTGTTACACTAATTACTTTTCAAATGCGTTTCATAATAATTACATCGAACGCACGAAGGTGATAAATGTTCAATCTCTTTCATTGTTTTGTAAAACCGCAAAAGAGTTACTGATATACTCTTAAAAAGCAAGGCAATGCGAATGATGAAGAACTCCTCAAATGCGAGGGATATTACGACCAAGACTTACAAATGTTACTCTGCTGCCTGAAATAACGATCTAAGTATGTCTGCAAATACAGCGGAAACTTCTTTAGTTCACTTATTTGGCTGTATGATTAATATAAGTAGTAAATACAATAACGAAATGCATTTTGTTATTGTACTTAATACAATAACAAAATGTCTCGTCCTTGTAAGACTAAAATATCAGAAAGAATTAAAAGGGTAGAGTATTGGCACTAAGGCATTACCCTGCGGACACTCCGGATGACACTCGCCGGCCGCCAGCCTCCAGCCAGATGGACAAGACGCGCATTGATCCCGCCGTGGGCCGATGCATGTTCGACAAGACAAGTAGCACTTTGAGCATGTGCCCCTATCCGCGTAGTACCTGCGCAAGGGACAATTCGGTTTTGAATGTAGTACGATAAAAGCCCTACGAAAGAATTTGTCCCAAAGTTATTAACATATCTTTAGGGTATATTAACTATAACTGTTTACTTAATACCTTAATATTTTATAATCTGATTATGAATGAATTGCGTCTTTCAAATTTTGAAGTCAACGCATGTTCAGTCATGCAACAAAAATGTTGTCCCACGGTACGCTATATGTGTGTAATAATAAAAACTATAAATCTTAAGTAACCCTGACACATAAAAAAACTCAAATTATAGCGAAGACCGGAACCTTAATCGGTCCATTTGTTTAGTAGATGAGACGTCACAGACAGACACGTCAAAAATATTATAACACCCCCCTCTTTTTACGTTTGGGATTAAAAATTACGTAGGTTAAGCTTAAGTAATGTTAAAGTGGCATTTATGTAATCATTACAATGAAGTTATTGACAATTGAAGCCATGTTAAACCAACTAACCCATCAGCGCAGGACGTTCTGCAGGCGCCCGATTGCAAACGTAACGAACCAGCGCAAGCGGTACAGTTGAGCCTCGAAACGCACTCTGAACAACCGTGAACGCAGCGCGTGCACCTGCCAGCCTCCGAATAGAAACCTCGGCTGCACTCCGTAACGCATCTGCAAAATGCAAAGCTCTTCAGTGTCACGATAACACACAGCCGCACAGTCTAAGCGTAGTCTACAAATCGCTGACCTAAAATTCCTTGAAATCGACAAAGTTAAATCAGCCCAGAAGTGTAACATCAGTTTCACTTCCGGGCGATTTCTTCATATTATATCGATTCAGACCTAATTTGACTAAACTCCGTTTAAAAATATAACAAACAGGCTATTAACCCAACGATTGTCGACTGACGTTTATGGAACTGTTATAATTCTGCGTTCCGTTTGTTGCGGTAACCGTAGCTCTACTAAAGTTTGCAATGCATTTGCACACCTATATGTGTTGCAAATGTCCATGAGCGGCGGTTAATACTTAAAATCAGATGTAGCGCCAGCTCGCTTGCCATCTTGATTAGCACTAAATGTAAAATATAATTATCGTAGCTTCAAAAAATTAACTTAAAAAAAATAATAAGTTTAAGTAACCAACACTAAAAAAAAACCTTTAAGAAAATTATAGATTTCAATACGGGAAACTGGATTTATCGTTAGACTAAAGCGTGAGTGTGAATCAAATGTGTTTCTATCGAATACATGACCCATATCCGGGACGTCGGCCCGATACCGTGGAAAGTTCTAATATGGACATCTCCGGGGAGACCGTCCGGGATTAGAAACGGCAAAGGCAACTGAACTGTTGTGTCCAGGGTCAAACGGGCTGCTACAGCGGTGCTGTTATATGTTTTATGTCAATAGTTTGCCATGTTTCAGAGGCTGTAAAGTTTCTGACGTCTCTCGATCGGTCTTAACGAGACCCGTGGGATTAGAATGTTTCCTGTTCAACCACTTACATATCTGGTCTTGTACGATTCACAAGTCTATCGAACATAAACACAAGTAATCGTGTTCATTTTTGAAACACCTCCACTGGGCTTCCTTAATGGTATAACTGTTACATTTCAGAATACAATAACAATAATCTTTCATCTTATTTAAAGTGTACTGATATAAGGCTTTATTTGAAATTGATCTTATCAAATATTCTATAAAAGTTTAGAAATTACTGCTACATAATCGAAACTATATTATTATTTTTTTAATTAAATTCACTCTTAATTGCACAAATCCCAAATTAAACAAACTCGAACTAAGAGATATTACTGGTTTTATGTTATGTCATGTTTATGTCTATGTATATATACGAAGAAATAAGATCAGAATAAATCTATTCTACTTACTTGTAATTCTCCAAGAGATTTGGCGATGGGCACGTCAAACAACTCAAATCGTTGTCGGCGTAGCACGAATCGCAAGCGCTGTGACATCGGTTGCAGTTGGTGCCATCGGAAAATTCACCCACGTTGCACTTCTCGGCGCCATTGAGGACGCATTTACCCTTTTTGTTCAGTTCCCAATTGGCGTCGCAGGACAAACAGTAAGTGCTTATACACGTGGAACACCCCACTGGGCATCTAAAATAAAAGAAACTATAAGCATCGGTACATGTCAGTAAGCGGGATTAAGGTATTCAGTACTCACTTCATACATTCTTTTCTCTTCTTGTCGGCGTAGTAGCCGCCGGGGCAGGCGTTGACACACCGACCTTCGAGCGAGTAGCTGGACGGGTGGCAGGTGACGCATTGCGCGGCGCCGGAGCCCTCGCAAGTGTCGCAAGAGGCGTGGCACTTGGCGCACGTGTAGTCCTCCGTCTCGAAGTACGACGGCGGACACGAGGCCAAACAGGTCCCGTTGTGGAGGACCAGATGGTGCTCGCACGACGTGCACGCGTCGGCCCTCTCAGAGCAAGTGGAACAGTGCGCGGCACACGGCCGACACACAGAGGCCTCGCTGTCCTCCCAGTAGCCGTCGGGGCACTGTTGGAGGCACACCGCCAAGTCCGCGACGAGCAGATGCGCCGGGGCGCAGGTGAGGCACGAGTCCTGACCGGGACCAACGCAGGTTTCGCACGATTCGTGACACGGCCAGCAGACCGCGCCCTGGTTGGCGAAACTGCGCGGGGGGCAGCGGGAGACGCAGGCGTCTTCGAGACGGTAGTGCTTACAAGCGATGCACTGCGTCGGTCCTTTGCCGTAACAGCCTTGTCCATCGCATTCGGGATCGCATTCGTGTATGACGCGCTTGTCGTTACTATCGGCGAGGACGTTCTCCCCATGCGGTGAAGGGACGTTGTGTCCATCGAGCTGTGCTATCGCCTTCTCCGGGTCAGAGCCGGCCGCGAAGAGGCTGGGAAAGTTCTGATAGTTGGCAAACGCGTCAGTATTGTAAAAAGAATCACCGGCGGAGTCGTAGCCGTCAGCGGCCGTTGGGAATGCGAATGGGGGCGCGATCGCTGGAGGTTTCTTGCTCCTCAATCTTACGGGCTCGATGGATGTGCCGTAGAATATCAACTGCCACTTCTTCAGAATGCCCGGCTGATTCACGTGCCGGTTTCCGGCATTAACAATGTGCAAAGTCCATCTGCCCTCGGCGCGTTCTCCCCAGAAATGAACACTTAGGAAGGGCCAGTCGTCGAAATTGGAACTGACGACATCACGGGGTCTCTCAAACAGAAGAGTGGACGTTGTTCCCATCGGAGACGTGAGTAGTATTCGCAGGTTACCCCTTGGGAAGAACCTCAGTGATATTTTACATTGGACGTGCTCCAGATATCTTACCTCGTTGACAGTCGAGCTACAGCCGTTAACGTCCATGTGAACGCTTAAGGTATATCCGTATGAAGATTCAATTGACTTGTCTTCGTTGATTTCTTGCGACTTGCATATATGTTGTGGCGGCACAGACACCCATTGCTCGGCTAGATTAACCATCTCCGTGGCGTCCATCAAACCGTAGCCAAATTTATGGCTTACTTTCCTCTTCACACCGTTTACGAGCCAGCCCGTCTCCTTCTCTAAGGGCTGCGGCCGTGACGTAAGAACTACTAAATATTGCATGTCTCTCCACGTCAAATCAGGGTTGGCTTCCAAAGCCAAAGCGCAAATGCCTGCCGCCAGAGGGGCAGAGGCTGATGTACCCGTGTGCTCTACTGTACAAATGTGATCGGGTCTCAATCTCCCGTCCATATCGACGGTTGCCACGCTTTTATCGTGCCCCGGCGTGCCTGAACTGTACGTGGTGGCGAGCGTGGACGAACATTCCTCGAGATACCACGGTTTGTACCCCCCTTGTGTAGCACTCGAGATGGATAACGTGAATATACTATTTGTGTAGCCGTCGCAATTGCAAGAGTCAGTATGCCTTCCGCCGTTACCCGAAGCCCATACGAATATGCTTCCCTTACCCCGGCGTCCACTTGTCACACCGTAAATGAATGCCCTTAAAGAAAATCACAGTTACACACCATTGCCGATAAGTGGAAAAATATGAATGGCGTCCAGGTCGTGGGTTCGTTTCCCGTATAGATTAAGTAAATTATCATCAGATATTAATTATAAATCTATCGATTTTTGTCGTCGTAAAATCTAAGTATGGATATATAAAACCCTTAAAATATAGCAAAATTTTATCTTAGATTCCAGGCCAGCAAGAACGAACGTAAGCATACCTCCGGGCTAACGGGCCAGGTCCGTCAACAGTCTTGCCATCATCTTCGGGTCCCCAAGAGGCACTGTATATATCGATGTGGTCCGGATTTAAACCCAGAGCTCTAGCTTCGACTGCGTCATTGACAACGCCATCCAACATCCGGACCCCACCTATACTGGCGTTGTAAGCTATGCCGACACCGCAGTATTGATTGAATGCGACTGCAGCGACCTCACCGGCGCATCTAGTTCCGTGTTTGTTGTCACCGTTATCTTGTGGCATCGGATCGTCGTCGTTGCCATTGATATCGGTGGACGCGTGGGGGTCCTGTTGATAGTCGTGCAATCTTAAATTTTATCAATCGTTCTGTACTCTGTTATTCCAGTTGAAAGTTTCTCAATACGGTACGGAGTATCGGAACACCAAGCCTCTTTGTCATTTAAATAATCATCTAAGTTATAATAAGCTTTTTTACTATTACTATTAATATTAATATCATGCATTAATGTCACCAAAATTATAGCAAATAAACTCATAACCTGAGCTCCTCAATGCTTATATATAAGGTCAACCGCATACAGGAGGTTTGAGATATTTTAAATTATATATGATAACTGTGGTAAGGCCACACAATGGTGTTCGATGTTGCACGAATGTTCCATCTGGATAAGTCCCACGACCTCACAGAAGACCGGCTTGAAGTCGAAGTGTAATGCTTCTGCGTTTCGTTTGGTGAGTGATGTCTGGGCCCACTTTATCAAAAGCTGGCAACGCATCTGCAACCCTACGGGTGCTGCAAATATCCATGGGCGGCGGTTATCGCTTAACAATGTGAATCGCCAGCTCGTTTACCAACTTCACATAAAAAGAAGATAAATAAAACATTATTCATGGTAACAGTGATTATACTTTTACGCACAGTAACGGCCGGTTTCTGAAACACTGATCATCGTAGATGTCAACTAATCAGCTGTCAAATGGCTTTTCAAATTTCATTTTAGTTGCCAAAAGGATGGTTAATTTTATTTATTTATTTTAAAAATCTAACAATTTCAATCTCTCGGTAATGTGGTCTGTATACTTACATAGTTCTGCGCGAGGTCAGGATGATTGGTTTGAATACCGTCGTCGAGGATGGACACCACGATTCCTTTTCCCGTGTAGCCCTTCTGCCATGCTTGTGCAACGTTCATATCAAGGCCATCTTTGGCACCGCCGTTCTTAAACAATATTGATACATTTACCATATTTTCTTCCCAGTAAATTACAATTAGAGGACGGTGAAAGTTACATAATGTATATGGTCGCACTCAAAATCGGTCGGCACTGAAAATCAGCGCTGTTTTGAGGTTTTTACTTCGGGCACAGCATAATACCGAGTTGTTGCCCTAATTTACTGATAATAGAGCGTACGATTATTTTCCTTTAAATTAGTTTATTTTTCTTTCATATTACCATAGTTCATATTTGGTTTATGTACTTATTTTTTTATTTAAGTACTTGTATTATTATAATATTATATGTTTTGTTATTTTTTTGTTGGGTACCTATTTTGGTAAATGAATTTATTTTCTTTCTTTAATAGAACATATTTGTTATAGATAAAAGTTAGGTTTACGAGAATGGTGAAGATAAATAGTGTATAATAAATAGGTAGATATGATACCTTAAAAAATATATGAGGTATATAACCCTAAGGCAATAAAGAGTAGGTTAGTATAACATTTGCCTCATTTGACAAAAGACGAACTACAACAAGCGATAGCTACAACGTCGGCAAGTGCAACCTTAAACTTACAACGGCTGCGTGTCCACTCACCAGGTACCATTGCTCCTTGAACAGGGGGTCGGGGAAGTACGGCGTCGGATTTAAAGCCCGATGCCTCGTCCGGTGCGAAGGCAAACGTCGATTGATCTGAGACCAGAGGGCGCTCTCCCTCTGCGTGTAGTCACGCTTCACCCTCCGCCTCTCGCGCTGCTGTTGGAACCATCGCACCTGGCGGGGAGATGTTCAAATCAGCAATCGATATTAACAGCACTAGATAAGGGCAAAGTAGACGCACATCTCCAACTGAACATTTATGTTTTACAAGTTATTGTTCAGTGATCGACAAATATTTACAAATTTAGCTATGATACCTATCGAGTAGCAATGCTGTTCCGATTAGTAATATTCGTAAGAAATTAAAACGTGAAACCTTTAGAAACATACGGATATAAAAGAGTACAATTACTTTAATGTATATTTCGACTCCTATCGTAAATATAGCATGAAACAAAATTTAGTTCGCGACCTGGAAGGGAAATGAATGTAACCTTTACCGAGATTACTTCAACTTTATGGTAAATACCTTTCAACAATACAATATTAACCATGCTCTTGAAGTAAAACTGTTATTTAAAATTGCACACAGTTTATAATACACGTCAGAATATTACTAATGTTAATAATTATTTCTTGTTTAAGAATATTTAAACAACTGCAGAAACTACCGTACATCGGCGAATATGCAATTATTTCTATCTTTTATTCTAAACAGGTTGTCCTGTGCGAAGTAAAGACGCAGCAATTTCACAGTTGTTGGAGAGCGAAAGACATCCATGGTATTTTTGCACGCGAACAACGTATTTGTGACCTTTCGATCTTTTTAAATAACTTCGTCATGGTTCAGCTGCGTTCTCAAACCTTCAAAAATTTCATTTAAAAAGAGAACGAGACATTGCTTCTTGAAACGTCATCATAATAATTATAATTTCATCACCCCAACGTGTAATGGTACGTTATCTACAGGCGTATCATTTGCCAACATTATGGCTCTAAAAACAGCATTTTTTTTTTATGGGAAAAAAGCAGCAAACGAGCAGGAGGCTCACCTGATGGTAAGTGATCACCGCCGCCCATGGACATCTGCAACACCCGAGGGCTTACAAATGCATAAACTATCGTATACAGTACAATGCATATAAGTTTACAATAGACTACAAATTATATAATATTATAGCCATTATAATCTAACCTTGTGATTAGAGAGAGGTGAATTAAAAGTTTACATAACAATGTTATTAACTGCATGTATGGTGTATGGTGCGTGACTAAGGCAATTTCTGGGAAATACCCCGCTTTTATATGGCAAAAAACAACTGTATTAATTATATTGAGTATTGCTGTATTAATATATACAAAATAAAATATAATATGTAAGTGGTAAAATTTAGGTAAATCCAGAAGGTATATATGAGAAATCCGCGATTTTAATAATTTATTTAAAATATTAACTGTCAAAAGAATTATTAAGCTAGACGCTCGTTTGGAACGCGGCCTACTTTTACAACTGCAACGCTTTGATCGATATATCATCGACGTGTTTCAGGTGTTCATTGGCGGCGATAATCATTTAACATCAGGTGAACCGCTTGCCAACTTTTCCCAAAAAAATTTGCTTCTACAGCTTACTACTATTCAACTACGTAACTTAGTAAAACTTTTATAAATGCAAAGTGTGGACGTAACTCACCAATTGATGACTCAGTGCAGATGGAGTAGTTGCCGAAGTATTGACTTTGGCGTCGGGGGTCATGGGTTCGATTCTCACACGCGACAACTATTTGTGAGACCCACAGATAGTTGTTTCGCATCTGGGTGTTTGTCCATGTGAAATTTATGTGTCTAAAACTTCCTTACAACACAGGATAATGTTATCCTAAAGTGAGGGCAATGTTTTAAAAAAAAAAAACTAGGGAGGGGTTAAGTTTCACAAAAATAAGCATAGAACACGACCGGATATTATGTATTCATCAAATCCGCAGAAAGCAGTACTGCTTTCATCAGAGACGAGTGCAACTCACCTGCGGTTCATCGTTCAACCTTCGGTGATGCTCGTGGCTGGGTTCCGTAGAACGCTTGCTTATCCCGTGATGCGAAAGCAAATAATAGCCTTTGAGTGAGCCGATCTGAAACAAACCGTGAAATTAGTATTATGCAGCTTGTTTGTTTCTAAGCAGATACTAATGAATAATTGAATGAATATTTATTTAGTTTCAACAACAAACACAGGTATAATAATTTCTTGTATTTACGCGATTACACATTATAAATGAAACTAATTTTACGGATTTATCGCGTTTATTTTTAATTTTAATTCCCGACGTTTCGAACCCTTTACAGCGTTCATGGTCACGGGACAGACTGAGGTGTTAGACGTCTGATTGTCATAGTTAACCCGGGCTACCGTCAGTTTTTGAATTATTAATTTTGTGTCCGATCTATGCAGAGGGAGCTAATTGTATCTTGTCTTGCAGTAGTGGTTCGTTTGGGCCTAGATTTAATTTTATTGATGACAGGATCCCAAGCTGATGGTAGTACCCAACCTTCTTCTCTATTGAATTTAGGGTGTTTTTTAATTTCAATAGCCTCGCGAATCATCCTTGGGAGGAATCGGTGTTCTTTTGCAAGGATCTGTGGTTTGTCAAACCTGATGTAGTGGTTGGGTCTATTCAAAATGTGCTCACAAACTGCAGACTTGTTTAATCTATTGTGTAGCTTGTAACGCTGTAAAGGGTTCGAAACGTCGGGAATTAAAATTAAAAATAAACGCGATAAATCCGTAAAATTAGTTTCATTTAAAACACAGGTATGTTAACAATTAAAAGAATATACAGCGTGTCGTTACCATCGCGACAATAAATGAACACACGTCTAACGCTACTTGCCAATAATCATAAAAAAATATTAACGTTAAATAAAATCCATAATTAAAAAAAAATATTTTTCAAACAAACTAATTAAGTAAAAAAGAAACAAAATTTGTAACATCCTATACAACTACAACTGACTGATTCATACATTCAGAGACTTTTTCATTCGTTGCCACAGCGTCGCATTACAAGCCTCTCCTTCTAACAGTATGTTTTGTCTCTTTTAAACTCGTTCAACCCATTCATATGCTTTGTGACCTTTACAAATGAACTTTACGTTACAGTTTTATACGTAAGGCTGTTATAAAATTCTTTGTTTTGGAAAATTTAATAACTCTGTAAATATTGATGTTTAAAGAAAGTAAATGATTAATACAATTTTAAAAAGTTATTCTCTATATGTGTGTTCATTTATTGTCGCGATGGTAAAGACACGCTGTATATCTAAGACATGAAACCAAATAGGTATTTACTTGGTACGATTTTCCGATTTTCAGTACATACCAAAATAATCGTCACTATCTATATATATTACATAGTATAAAACAAAGTCGTCCCGCTGTCTGTCTGTTCGTATATATGCTTAGATCTTTAAAACTAAGCAACGGATTTTGATGCGGTGTGATTCAAGAGGAAGTTTTATATATATAATTGATGCATGGTATATTAGAGAAACACTGTTAACTTTAGAGGTTTCTGATGCAATGTCGAAAACAAACATTCAGCATTCGAGTGCGAAGCCGGGGCTGGTAGCGGTCGCTAGTATAAGGTAAAGTAAAGAAACAAACTATTTTTTACAGCCTATTTATTTCTGTACAGATTATATTAGGGCATAGTCCATCATGCGACCTCACAGCGGATTGGCGGACTTCACATATCTTCGAAATATTTTTTTAATGTTATTTCGAAAACATGCGCGTGTTAAATAAATCATTAGTTAAACAAATTCATTGGTGCTGGCACCGGGAATTGAACTCACGGGTTGCTCGAGTATGTACTGTACGTACGTTGCTAAATTTTATCTAAATTATTCAAACAATCTTCATCTTTATATACTTTTGATAGTTTCGTTTTTCTCAATGTTATCTTGAGTATTACTAGGCTTTGCCCGAAATAAAGAATTATTATTACTATATTCAAGTTCCACTAAGGTGGCTCAAGATTTCACACACGGTTTAACACTAAGACAAATAACACACACAAAGGAATTTTAATAAAGAACGATCCATGAATACAATACGAAAGGCGTCAAAGCGCGGAACTGCTCGAAATTATATAAACCCATAAAGCGAAACAGCGCAACATTAAAAGGGGCTGCTAAATGGGAAATTGATAATAAAATGTCACAAAAGCATAACGTCTCAATTAATCAGGACTTAATCAAGAGTTCTCGCCAAATGACAAAGAGCGGCCGTGACGAATCGCTAGAGGGATCGAGTGAATTGATCACACTTTATCAGAGCTCAGTATTTCCAGCCTCGTTGACTGAAGGGTTCTCGAGGAGGGCGGACATTTAAAATTAATCTTTACAGCGGCAATTCTTCAAAATTGAAACGGAACACAAAGGACCGAGGGGGGGGGGGGGGTCTGGCGACATTAAATTAAATAATTGAAAATAATCCACGCCTCGAGGGATCCTTCTTCATTGATATTTATTGTTCGCAATTCGCCAAAATTACTAATAATTTTACTGCCTTTTTTCCCCGTCGCGTTATATTCTGTAAACTAAATATTTTAATTTGGTCAAATGATTGTTTATTTATTTCTTTTTTGTGGATGGACAAACGTCTAGAGACAAATAATTACAGCCCATCGTATCGTATTATTATGCTAATTAGTAACGCAAAATCGAATGTGATTGAAATATAAGTTATAGACCATTTTATTTATTAATACAATTTTATAACTTACCGGCCGAGAAAGAAAACCCTAGTCATTAATCAAGCCATAAATCGTAAGCGGTAAGTTTTGCTAATAAGTTTATGGGAAACAAAAGATGCGAAATACTCTTCAATAATTATTTCTATGGTTAAACGAGCAATCGGAATCTCGGAAACGGCTCCATCGATTTTCATGAATTTTAGTATATGCGTAGATTCGGGGGCGAAAAATCGATCTAGCTAGGTTTCATTTTTAGAAAGTCTTATCCTTTAAACGAGCAATTCTTGTATATATGTATATATATCTATATATATATATATATATATATATAATCGGAATCTCGGAAACGGCTCCAGCGATTTTCATGAATTTTAGTATATGCGTAGATTCGGGGGCGAAAAATCGATCTAGCTAGTTTTCATTTTTAGAAAATGTCCTTTTATCCCTGTTTTCAGGGAATGAAAAATATAATTCGAATATGACGGTAAATTTCGCCGCAAGAGATAATGTCATAATAGCTCGGTCGGTAATCGGGCGGCCCCAAAACATATATTTTTTTAATTTTTTTTTTTCGATTCCAGATCATTGCTTTCTTTTTTTTAAAATTTTTTGTCGTTTTGTTATTTTGTAATTTTTTTTCCCTTTTTTTTAAAAGTTCTTTCTTTTGTGAAAAACATCAGTTCATATTTTCTTATTATTACGTCGGTAAGATCGAAAAATATTATGCATATTTCATTACTCAGTAATTTGTATCTAAATGTAATTTCCAAAATACACGATTTACCAAAAAAAAAACAAACCGAGCAAAGCTCGGTCCTCCGGGTACTTTCTATGATTGCCCTAAAGTGCATAGTTTCCGAGATATCGGCCAAAAACATGTTTTTTAAGATTGCGTCTTAAACTTAACGGGAATCTGTTAATCATTATATATTAGTGTTTTCGAACTCAGTGATCTGATATAAAACAAAAGTTAGATCAGTAATTTAGTGCGAAGTAAAATTCCATTTATACTGGACTAAAAATTATTATTGAATTTAAAATATATACTAGACATACATATATACATATGCAGTGGTAGAACGACCCCCGCTAGATGGAGTGACGAGCTGTGCAAATGTGCGGGAAGTCGATGGATGCAGGCGGCTCAGCATCGTACTTCGTGGCAGTCTATGGGGGCTATGTTCAGCAGTGGACTGAAACAGGCTGGAACATCTGGATGATGATGATTTTAAAGGTCGTGTACATATACTTATAATCTTCATAAATAAACATATCTATAGTAAGATCCTCATAATTCTGCCCAACCATTTCAATATACCGACAGCGCGAGCGTATATTTATTTCCATCTAGAGCCTAAGCGGATCATAAAAGAGGCAAGGCCAATTTGCCATCGGGAAAAATTACCCAAACGTCTCGCATGTTTATTCCTCCGACGTTTCTGACTACGAATTGCCGAAACGCCGTATTACCGCGCCCTAATTCTGTAAATAATGTAACCGAAGCCCTTTACGGTGGAAGGTGGTAGGCGTCGTAGCGAGCGCGGGGTTTTTCGCGTGACGGGAACTAACGCCTCTATTACCTTTATTGGTCTATAAAGTCACCGTTGCGGGCGAGTGTCGGGCCCCTAAACGCGCGTCGAGCCCCGCTTGGTATGTATACGCGCTTCGAGCCCCCCTTCGCAATGTGTTTGTTCATAATTTCCGTAGTACGCTCTAAAACGTTGTTGTAACATTGGAGGGCGCACATTTTTAAGATCCGAACTGAACTATTTACTCGAATAGCAGATTAAGAATTGAGTGTTAAAATTATTAACTCAATTGGTATGGTATCATGTGGAAGCACAGCGCCTATGAACAGAATTAATTCATGATAAATATTGTTACAATTTCCTTTAGTAAAATAAAAATAAACTAACTACCTAAAAACCTAAAAATCAGGAACAAGCAAAACCAACTTAAAAATTGAAACCTCTCGTAAGTTAAAGTAATAAATCATCGTCACGAAAAAGAAATACATTTTGCAAAGAAACCTTTTTGAATGAGTAACTATTATGCATTACAAAACTAACGTATTAGGGCATAGACCCCACTGCAGATTGGCAGACTTCACATATCTTCGAAATATTCTTTTTTATTACGAAAATAAGCAAGTTTCGTCACGGTGTTCCACTTCACCGCTGAGCTACTGATAAGTCAGCACTTATAACATACTAAGCGATATGATTGATAATATTCATATATATATATATTCCTATATGCCCACACATTATATTTAATTTTTATGTATATATTTTCCTACTTTTATTTACTTTTTGGTTTAGCACCTGCCATCTACTTCTCACCATGACAAAGGTTGACTGGTAGAGAATGCCATTAGGCATTAAGTCCGCCCATTGTAGCCTTTAGCCTAAGGTGTAACAATAAAGTATAAATAAATAAATAAATAAGCGGTGTGCTTTTGTGCTAGTACCGGGTTTAAAAGTAATAAGATAGTTTTGATTGGCAAACGGGCATGAATCTTGCTTCCATTTAAGCGGTAACCGTCGTCCATAGACATGTGAAGCACCCGTAGAATTGCAAAAGCATCGCCCGCATTCTAGATAAAAATCTCTCTCTTGCTGAAGACAAAGCTTTCACATTTTTTAATCCTTACACGTCAATATCATTCTGAAGCGGGCCAAAAGAGCTATGATTTATTTGTTACTAGGCCGTCAAAACTCGTGATATAAACATCCCAGTGGGGCTTCTCTATTCTCGAGTAGTGATGAGTCAGCGCACACGGCTATGGATGCCTTAGGGCGGTAACCGTTAAAGTTAGTCGGCACTAAAGCAAATCGTTTATGGACCATATATCCGCAGTTTATTAACCCGGAGCCATAACTCTTGAGTAGTGCCGACTGGCCGGTTGATTATGGCGGCGGTAAAATCCGGGCAATTTGTTCGACACCGCTAATAGTTCGCAATTCGTTATTTTTTGATAGTCCACGTACTTAGAGGGTTTCCGTCTCCAACGGTGTAATGTCCAGTTTAAAATAGAGAGTTTAGGATAAAGAATAGAAATTATATTTGTTTGCTCGCATTCTATACTTTCGAGCAACGTTTGAATTTTGCGTTCTTAATAACCATTAATACTTATGTAACGGTCTACTATCAGTCAAGTACTAGACAGTGCATGTGGGCCCGGGGTGATAGAATAGGACAAAGGTTTCCCCTGCCTGTCGAATTAAAGGGGACACTGGGGGTCGTCCCTTTTAGGGGACGTGAAAAGGGCAGCAGTTGGGGCAGCTGCCACAATACAGTGAGGGAATCAGGGAAGGTTTGTCCAAGGCGTGCGTCAGCGCAGTATCGAGGGGCACCGGTGCGTTCCGCAGGAGATCCCGAAGCCCATCAAAGCTAATTTACCACCGAGAAGGTTTGAGTGAGTAAGAACCCCACATAATCCTGTCTTGCCCAGATGACACGGTATCTTTTGGACCCTACGATACACAAAAAGGCATTTCCTTATAGAAGAACGTTGGTGCAGTTTTCGCACACGCCCGCTTGAAGGTTTTTAACAAGGCGTCTTTAACGCGCAATTGGTAAAAGGAAATTTAACGGATAATTCTTCGTTTGTCGTAGTTGTAGAGCCACGCAGCAGTGTTCGATGTTGCACGAATGGGCCGGTCCGTCTGGGTTAGTACTATGACCTCAAAGATAACGGCGTGAAGTAGAAGTGTTACACTTCTGCGTTTCGTCTGGTGAATGAGGTAGCCGATGCTCACTTTATGAAAAGTTGGAAATGCATCTGCTACCCCACTATTGTTGCGAATTTCTATGGGCAGTGGTTATCACTTAACATCAGATGAACAGCTAGCTCGTTTGCCATTTTGTCAAAAAAAAAACCTAATGAAACGTTGTATAACGATGTTTCAGTAAGGGCTTGAATTGCAGCGCATTGGCGACATAAATGTGCGGCAAGTGGTAAAGAAACATGTATTTAACTACCTACAAGGTTAGCAGAGATGGCTGTTGATGCCCAATCTTCATTATTCTTTAGCACATAACAGTGAGACGTCGATTTCCGCATGCACAGAACGGCGAGAAACCAAACAACTCACTTCGTCATTCGCGAAACCAATGCCGCTACCAAGTAAATAGTTAAATTTAAATCGATAGAGTTCGTTCACAAGTTCTCTCGCGATATTCAGCAATGAGTGCGCCTCGCGACCATCCACGGAAACCACTTAAAAACCAACTCGCTCGAGAACTGAAAAAACCGATCCCCTTCATAACTTCGCCGCTCTTTAAATAATCCAGTGACTCGGGCTCTACAACTTCGTAACAGCTCCGCTATGGACCGAAGATACGGAACAAGTATCGAAGTTCAATAGAAACAAAACTTTCACGCTCGAGCGCATTCTGGAAGTATATAAGTCTATTATGATAGGAACGTGCTGGTGTTTTAGATTTCTAATGCATGTGTACCGACCGTCCAGGATATAGATACATATTATATACATTTTTTATATGTGAGAAAGTGGCAAACGAGCCGGCGGTTCACCTGATGTTAAGTGATAACCGCCGCCCATGGACATCTGCAAAACCCGTGTAGGCTTACGAATGCGCTGCTACCTTTGAATAAAGTGGGCCCCGGCTACCTCCCACCCCAGACGAAACGCAGAAGTTTAACCTTCTACTTTACGCTGGTCTTCTGTGAGGTCGTGGTACTTACCTGGACGGACCTGCCCACTCGTGCAACAGTGTTGCGTGGCCCTACCACCGTTAACCAATATAGTAAACCCTGTACCGTGGGCGAGTGTATAACAATTTTTCTTTAAGCCTTTTTTTATAATAAGTGGGGAGAATAAGACCTGTCAAATATGCATATACGGAAGATTAGTTATTCAAAAGGTAACCCAATAAAACTACCCCAGTTCTTGCAAATTTTGTGAATTGATTCATGAACATAGTGATGGTCTAAAGACTCGGTTAATTTTCATAACCGAAAGTGCCTTAAAAAGCATAGAAGAAATAATTATTTAACATCATTACGATACACAATTCGAAGGGAGGTCAGGTTCTAAGATTCTAACAATTTCTTTTAACAACTTTTATAAAAGCACATAAAAATTTAAGCTACCTTCGAGCATCTGTGTTCTCGATCTCTATTTTAACTGATATTAAAGAAATAATCTCAGTTAGAAATAATAAATAACTATTTAATATATACTACTAGTAACTTTTATGTTTACTTATTCTTTAACTGAAGTTTTTTGATTAAGTTTTTGCACTCATGAAACTGGAAAACGCGAACGAAGGCGAAGGTTCGAATCTAAAAGATATCTACAAAATATCACAAATAAATGAAGTATCTAGTGTTTTTTCTCTACACCAATAAAGCGTCGGCGAAATACAACTAACTTTCTGTTGGAGTTGCTAGAAGGTGCTTTATTCAATTTTACTGTCATAGCGAATATAATTTTAAAGTGTGGGATGTTCAGGTACAATACCATCCAAGGAACAGGATTCCCTATATGGAAAGTGAACGGTATTCGTGTAATAAAGCTGATGAATTCGATAAAGTCGTCATTCCGGACGCCTATTACGAGTTTCAATCTTCCCATTCAACTTAATTGTATATTCAAATAAAGGTCTATAAAAGGTACGTAATGTATTGTCTATTATTGTCAACTGAATGTATTTCAGAAATTGAAACCTGACCTTGTCTTTCCGTGCAAATCACACTAAACCAATGAATAAATATTATAATTCGCAAGTAAAATATAATTTTAGAAAATCTAAAGTTAGACAATAAGAGAAATATAAAAATGAACGAGACCCCATACCTTTTTGATCATAACGGGCAGACAATAAAACGAACCAACAATGAAACGTGTGCGTTCCCGGCGAGTGCGATAGTGACTTTGCACTAAAATAGATAAAAGTGAAAGTAGAGTAATAACAATGGCAAACGTGTCCTCTATGCACAGATTAGTAGGACAAAGTCCATCACGCGAACCCAACACAGGTTGGCTATTCTTCTTTTTTTACTGTTCTTACTTCTTACATAAACATGCAAGTTCTGTCACGATATTTTCCTATGCAACTATCGAACGCAAAATATAATACAACTAGCGAACGCGAGAGACGTTGTTCAGTACACCAGTCTTGAATCTGACAACTTATAAATAAAAAAAAAAACAATTTTGAATCTAAACCATTCTCGAATCGACCTGAAGACACAAAAAAATTCATTAAAATTGGTGTCGCCGTTTAAGAGGAGTTCAGTGATATACAAACCTATATAGATATATTCGATATAGGCACAAATACATAATACAATACAAGGAAGTATACCGGTCAGTAATAAACAGTTCATTTGTATTGTCAACGTATACGCCGGATAAAAACAATGGAACTGGTCGAACAGAAAACTCATAAATATAGGTATCGAGGTGAATAACGAAAATTCGATTGCGCAACGCGCATCCAAAAGCCACGGCGCGGACACACGGACCGAATGAATGCATAATTGACCATTGTTCGCAATTGAAGCGGAAACGACCACTGATAAAGTATCGGGCGTGCATTTGACTGTTTGCCGAGGCGGTGTGTAACGTTAATGGCGATTTACACGACACTTAAGTTAAAATAGGCTCAAGATCACATCCTACGAGATAGCCAATGCTTGTATATAGCCCCGTCCTAAGGAGACATAAAAAAAAAACATGATGAGGAAACCTCCATATTGGCGACAAAATATTTCTCATCAGTACAGAAGAAGCGTTTGTTTATGCTCTAGGATAGCTATGAACCAGCGTGTTAACAAAACTCTTATTAAAGAAAATAAAGTTTTGGTAAATAAATGTATATTCTTTCTTTCTATTTTGTCCACAAGCCCATAGTCATAAATATACTATTCCACCAACCTACTCTACACTACTATACGCACTTTAGTGTCTTTAATTAAATATTCCAATTTGAAGGCAATTAATTCGAGAGACTCTGGGGTAATCCTAATTTTTTTCCTAAATATAAAAAGGCTAAATCTCTCAAACTGAGAGCGATATCAAATAAGTCATTTCAAAGTAGACTACCTACATTTTCGCTCTGCCCCGAAACTAATTTTGACAACATAATTTTATAATCCACTTTACGCGGGAATTTAGTTTTCTATTAAAATACGATCTCGACATTTCCGAGGGTCACAAATATTCACGAAAAAAGTGCAAATCTATGCGAGAAAATTTTAAAATTATTTCATTTATTTACTACACTTTTAAAAAGCAAAAAAGACAGTTGTGACGACGACAGTGAAAATTTTTAAAAGCACTCAGCATTTTATAAACAGTACCTGGAGGACCGAGCTTTGCTCGGTTTGTTCTTTTTTTTGGTAAATCGTGTATTTTGGATATTACATTTAGATACAAATTACTCAGTAATGAAATATGCATAATATTTTTCGATCTCACCGACGTAATAATAAGAAAATATGAACTAGTGTTATTCACAAAAGAAAGAACTTAAAAAAAAAGGGAATAAAATAACAAAATAACAAATGGACTAAAAATAAAAAATAAAGAAAGCAATGATCTGAAAACGAAAAAAAGTAAAAAATAAGTGTGTAAATGATCGTGATACGAACCGCGGCCGTCTGTTTTGGGGCCGCCCGATTACCGACCGAGCTATTATAACATTTTTTTTTTTGCAGCGAAATTTACCGTTATATTCGAATGATATTTTTCATTCCCTTAAAACAGGGATAAAAGGACATTTTCTAAAAATGAATCCTAGCTAAATCGATTTTTCGCCCCCGATTCTACGCACATACTAAATTTCATGAAAATGGAATGCTGGAGCCGTTTCCGAGATTCCGATTACATTTTATTTTATTTTTATTACATTTTATTAAAGGATAACCTTTTTAGTCCTCACGTGAAAGATTCGACTCGACGGGGTAAGTACTAGGGCGACACAGGAGATTGGTATACATAACGTTTATTGTAGGAAGTATTTACAATTATGCATATGGTCCGGTAACCTAGACATAATTTCAGCCTGCTGAAAAACGCTGCTGCCCATTTTTGGACTGGAGTATTTAGGATCTGTGTTGGGATAGGGCATTGACAAAGACGTTCGTACAGAATGACAGTCTTTATTCAATCAAGTACACTTTTTTATTCAGACTTCTATATTTAGGAAAATGTCTTTAAAGGAAGGTACATTGTTAAACAGTAGCCATTTACCCAAGATGAACGAAGTACAGACTAGTTGAAATGAATTGAGTATCACAATGATGAACAGACCATGTAGTTTTGTAATATTCCAACAATCTGGAAAGTCGAGATGGTTATCCTGCCACATCGAAGGTCACTTTCAGATTACAGATGCGTTGCCTCTGATAACAGTTCACAGTGATCTTCTTCCAGAATGTGGTACTTCCGCAGACGAGCTAGCCCATTAACGAAACAGCAGAAGCCGATGCGTGGTGCCCAACAAAGAAAGAATCATTTTAATGGATCACCGTCATATAGTCATTAATAGCTGGTTCGAAGATAGAGGGAGGTTTATGACAGTAGAAGGGAATTCTTCGTCATTGCAGTAAAAACATAGTACTCAAAAATATTTAATTATACCGTTCGAATCAGTTATATTAAACAGTACTTTGGCAAACCCAACCCAAACCACCCCAACACCCCCACAATATGTAAGGGTAATAATAATTTCAGCCTGTCAACAAATCCACTACGTTATTAATAACAATCTAAGGTAAATTTAAATAACATAATCATCCGTTTGCTACACGTCGTACCTATTTACGCATGAGAGAACTTTATTGCTATCTAAAGGTTTGACGCGAACTCGGTTCATATAACATCCACGCTAAGGTAAGTTTTCGTATAATGGAGTGCGGCACTAATTAAACCAGAGTAATATATGAAACATTGTTTGATATAATTACCCTGCGTGTTCACCCGTGGGGACGCTTTAATGTTTCCAACTTCGCCAATAACTCCGCGCGTTCTAGATAGAACCGGTTTGAACTGGATCAAAACCAGTTTGAAGCGGTCCAAACGCCGCAACGCGCACCGATTCGCGGGGTAATGAAGACTCCGCAAAATTAATATCGGAGTCGTGGGTAATTTGCGACTAGTACAGGCGAAACTTCGGCCCGCGCAGCGAGTCCTCAGCGCACTCCGCGCGCCGTACCCTCAAGTACATCGGAGACGTTACACAAGACCTACGATTAAACGGCCCGTCAGTCAAGGCGGGAACCGCGGCATCGCTGCGGGGAGGTTAGGCCACGTGCACACAAAATCTTGCGCAATATCGGATATCTGGCATTGACTAAATTAACGGATGAACTGGCAGGGGTTATGGATCTTCAATTTACCTCCATCTTTAAAAGTACATAAAACTGTTAGATTCTAAGTTGTTTAATAGCCTAAACTGGCTAATATAAAAAATAGCAAACATATACAAGGCGGAAAATCGTTTCACATATAAATTCTACGATTGGTTACACTGCTTTCGTAATAAAAAAAAAAAACTACCGCTACTGTCCATGATCATTACCATCGGCTAAGGTGTTTGCTCCTTTTTCAAATTCAAATTAAAATATCTTTATTCAAAATAGAAGAAGCATTACTCACTCATTGATTGTAAAACTTCTACTACTACCGGTTCGAAAAGGAAAAGTCTAAAAACTAACAAAAGCCTAAAAGCTAAGCCTAAAAATTTTTTTTACCGAAAGTTGAAACATATTTGAATTGATACAATATATTGAAGTACACTTTACCTCCTCCCCCAAGAAAAATCATCGCAATCCGTAAGACAACATATCATCATAAAGTTTGATGCGATGGGGTACACACAAAGTACCTAAACGATAAAATATTCTAAGAAAAACAATCTTCGAACTCGCTCGCGGTGTGGTGCAGTCCTAACGGAGCTTCCTTAAAAGTTTTAATTAATCCCAAGCCAAGTTTAGATCGAGCCTCAGGCAGCCGTTCGGTGGCGTTCCGAGTCATCGGGCATAACTCGGGATTCTTAACGGAACTATGAACTAACAGACGCAACCCCACCTTTGATCTTTGCCCGACGGCGATACTACGCAGGGCGTCTCGCGGGAGACTGAAGTTGAGGAAGTGTAAAGGAATCCGTTCTAAAACGGATGTTATAATGGATTGGGATTGGAACGTTTTCTCATAATGTAAATTGAGATCTTAATCATCACCATCATCATCATCCTAAGGGCAGAAGGACTATGATCCCACTTAGGTGGGGTAGGCACAAACATGTAAATAATGTTGTAAGCGGTTTTTGGCAATGATGACTCGGGGCCGCCGTTGGCAAGCTATTGGCTTCGGCGTCAGGGGTCGTGGGTTCGATTCCCACACGGGACAACTATTTGTGTGACCCACAGATAGATGTTTCGCATCTGGGTGTTTGTCCGCGTGAAATTTATGTTTTTAAAACGTCCTTATAGCACGGGATAATGTTATCCTAAAGCAAGGGCAATGTTTTAAAATAAAACATTATTCACGGTCTAAGTTTGTACTTAACAAACTTAAAAGATAATGGAATAACACAGACTAGAACATAATATCGCACAGATTAAAACAATACTCAATAGCTTGCTTGTCACTCGTCTTACATACGTCTATGCCGCCTCTGGTGTTACATCCGGCCAGACGGACAAGGGCATCGAATTACTATGCGGCCGCCTTAAAATTATCCGGCAGCGCCGCGAGACGTCCGGGTAGCCCGGTTACACGGGCCCGACCCGGTTAATTTACAGTGCGCCCCACAAATTAATATCTCCAATTCGGACCCTTGTCAGCGGTACGGCTGGCGCGAGTCCTGGGAGAACGACAGCGCCGGGAGGACCTTGTCAGATGCGAGCAAACCTTATTAGAGGGCGGTCGATCCATCCTTGCCGTGATTATCTTGTAAAGTGTGCGAGTCAATTGACTTTATACATTAATTTCGATAGACTTTGAACACTTTGAAAAGGAATATTGTCTGGGTTTTTATTACATTCAATCAATTAAATTTTTATAGTGTTAATCTCTGCTTCATTGTGTTCTACAAATTTTAATACATTCATTCATTCAAACGTTTTGTATGATACACAAAACAGTTTAGAGTTAGAGTTTAGAGTTTAGAGTTCAACTTACCAACGCTCGCGTAACATAATGTTTCATGTCAGATTTTAGCTTACAAGCTCGGTGTTGCAGTTGCTATGTTGGTCGGCGCTGGCGGAAGTAGGTTCGATTACGAACGCGTCATGTTATATATATAAGCGTTTAAATACGCGTTTTCGTGGGACGACAGTTTCTTTGTTTTTCCGGGTCAGCGTTGACAGGCAAGTTGCCGGTCGTTATAAACCTAGACACTACCATTAACAACATGATTGAAATTGGAACACTTTAGTTCACATTAAAATTTGGAACACTTTAGTTGTCGGATACCTTCTATTCCATTATCATATATTAACTGTGGTAGGGCCACGCAGCAGCCTCAGCTGTTGCACGAATGGGTATGCCCGTCCGGGTAAGTACCACGACCTCACAGAAGACCGGCGTAAAGTGGAAGTATGACAAATACTTTCGCGTTTCGTCTGGTGAGTAAGGTAGCCGGAGTCTAATTTTCAAAAGGTTGTCAACGCATCTGCAATCCTCGGGTGTAGCAGATGTCTATGGGCAGTGGTATTCACCTCATATCAGATGAACCGCCAGCTCGCTTGTCAACTTTTCGCATAAAAAAAATACAGTTGTAGGCTTAGATAACTTTTCTTATTTTTAAAAGTCACTTAAAATCGTGAGCAATAAGTGGAAGATGTTCCCAAACTTGTATAAAATATAGACAAATTCTAATGTCTGCGAGAAATGAAATGTCTGTCACGTGGCTCTTTAAACAAATAAATGTGTTCAGTGTAAACGCAATACCTATCTAAATGCTCAACGAGGTCGCAAACATCGTAGAATGTCGTAGAGAGGAACATGCAAATATATTAGATGGGTATTGTTAGGCATATTGGGCTGCATCCGATTCAGTATCGGTGAAAAAACGCTCCGGAACCGTCGGACAGTTCGTACGCGCGTATATATATATATCTTCAATATACGCAGATGTAGTTACGTACGTACGTACTTACGCTTCGCTGTATAGATGTCGGACGAATTCACCGCCCGCGCGCGGATAAAATAGAAACCGATCGGGTCCGTTGCCTTCGACGGGGACGTTTTAAATCGAAATATATTTTTGTTTCGGACTTCGCGCCGAATGGAAAAAGGTAAAAAAAAAGAATATAGACGTATACGTATTGGCCGGCCGGTACGGATACTCGCCTTTTACGTCCGTTGTGTTAAAAGTTACGATGTTTGACGAGTGAAGCGTTTTTTACCTCCTTTTTATACCGCTTGAATGCTAACGTCAAGTTAGCCAAGAGACGGGGCCGTGCGCAATTTTAATTAAATATATAACAGAGTTTAAAAAACTTGTAAACGATGCATTTATAGGTTGATGAGAAGTTTCGATCCGGCAAATTCATCTCCCACAGCCAATACAATGCGACAGATGTTAAATAATCAGAATTCGATGATGATGAGATAGGATTGGTAAAGGCTTAGTTTTTGTTTGAAGTTCTTGGTTTATAGACTTCGTAAACACAAAACTTGTCATATAACATACACGGCCCACCACAAAAGACTGAAATGTGGACAGATATCTCTTTCGCACCTAGAGTTAACACATGAGAGCTTGAATTGTTTATTTTGAATTAAATCCGCAAAGGTACCTATAAATATTTCGAACTCTTCCAAAACTATTTTCGATACCAAGAAGACAAAAGCGTCGCAATAATGCGATGTAATAATATTATGGAACAGTTATTTGACATAAAAAACATAACAATAATGTAACATAACCTTATTTAATAAAAACTAAACTAAAAATTTTACTCGAGCAATAAAAAATACATTAACCACTATAAAATAACGGGTCTATTTCTTATTTTTTTTTTGATACTGTAAAGCTCTAGTTCCATGTACATATTTATTGTTCAATGTAAATGTTTGTAGGTAAACTTCCAAAAATATGGACAAACAGTGAGCGCGAAGCGTCCAAAGCAAACCGTTGGGACGTTCCACACAAATTAGCGATTTCCACGAACCGCTTTTTTCCCTCGATAACCGCACGTCAAGCGGTCATGTCACGGATCAGCAAATATTTAAATCGTGTACAGTATGAAACGTTCCGTTTTAAATTGCAAAGCGAATCGGCGATATCCAATTTTGTGATATGGGCAAATATCTGATTTTTAATAATGCATTTTTCGCTTGAACGATCGCGGTTATGCTTATTCTCTATATATCGAAAATATATTTAGTCGATTTATTGTATACGCGTTGCGTAATAAGTAACGATATCATTATGGAATATAATAAATATAGTTTTTATATTATGTCTATCATATCGTATTTATTATACAATAAATATAATAACATATGATATAATTAATATTCATGTCTTTTGTCGGGACCCGGTAATTCCCATGATGAGTCATAAAATTTAATAATTTAACAACCATTTATAACCTTCGTTACGCTATAGACGAAAAATGGAGAAAATAAAACATTCAATTGATAGCTATGCCATTTCTTTAATTAAGTTACTTATTTGGTATGTTTATGTTAGCATGGAATATTGGAAATTGTTGATTTTTATGTGTATTCACTTAATATAACAAACTTTTTACAAAACCACTTGGTATTAACTAATTAAACCACTTTTTATGAAGAGAACAATACGGTTTCCGCCAAGGCATCAGGCAGCAATACCACTTGGCAAGCAATATCAATAATACTGTTCATGAACCAAATAACTTAAGAGAACATTCATTTTGAACAACACTGCAATACTATATTATTTTATCTGTGTGATGTTATATGTTTATGAAATCTTGTAACATTAATTTATTATATATACTAGCGACCCACCCCGGCTTTGCATGGGTGCAATGTATTATACATATAAAATTTCCTCCTGAATCACTCTATCTAGTAAAAAACGCATCAAGATCCTTTTCGCAATTTTAAAGATCTAAGCAAACATTGGGACAGACAGACAGCAGGACGACTTTGTTTTATACTCTGTTTATAAATGTAATTTAATTAATATTATTTTTTATCTAAATAACACACATAATTATACAATAAAAAAATCGTGCAATATGAAATATATTTCTATTTTTAATTAATTTAATGTTGTTAAAATTGTATTGGAATCTTAACAATACTTACTACTGCTATGCCCTAACTGTGTCGTTGATGATTATAAGCTATATTATGGAATGCAAATAAAACAATAAAGAACGCACGGTGTGTTTTTGATTTGATCAATTCCGTTCCTTCGGGATAAAACTCGGCCAAACACCGCACAACAGTAGGTCTGTTGTAAAGACTAGAAGCTGTCCGTAATTCACCATACTCTCTCCTCTAATTAAAGATAAAAGTTTTATCCGTGTTTTTTTTTTTCTCTTTATTAATTTAGGGACTTTTATACAAACATTCATATGTCAGTCCCATTGTACCTTATAACTAACATGTTCACAGAATGATTTATATTTCTAAGATTACTCATTGTCACGGAAACGCAATTGTACAAATTTATATAAATAAAAAGCTGCCTTAGAGGTAGGCTTTGACAAACATAATGGAAAGTACCTTTATCCGTGTTGCAAGTATAGTATATATATTATGTAAAACGCACTATTAGCGTTATGTAAGATGTCTTCAAAAAAAACGTTTGCTATTTTTATTTTTTTAAACTATCTGATACCCACGACTTCGTATGCGTTGCTTATTATATGAAAAACTCAAACGCTTGATTGAAAACGCAAACATGAATGAACGCGTAACGCTTATAAAATCGTCGATTTTAAGAACTTCAATAAGTTTATATTAAATGAAGATATCGCAATTTTTTAACTGTTTCTGATAAGGGAAGGAATATGTTAGGAATAAAATTTTGTAGAATCAATTGAAATTTATACAGTAGTTTTTCCGTGATGCGGGCACAACGGCATATTTCAATAATTTAATTTATCTAGAGAAGAGATAAAATTTCAGAACTGAATAATAACCCCGTTTTCGCATTGCAAACGCAAAGTCACGGAAACGGATATTCGGAACAACTATTTACGGATCAAATTTTTGTTGTGTGCCCGGATGGAAGCGTTAACACGATCATTTAAACCAGTAAGTTATTCTCACTATTAAAATCCTTTTTTGTTCCAACGTTTATTTCATTGATCATTGTAAGATTTTTATTTTCTTGTATTTACGCGATGACGCATTACTAAATGTACGTATTTTTTTTTTTCATTTAGTATTTACTGCCCCGTGACCATGAATGGTGAAAAGAGAATTAAAATTAAACGTAAATAATAGTTTCTTTTCTTAAGATATTTATTATGAAAAATCATTCAACATTATTTACACCCGACTATCAATCTTGGATAGTTTCTAAAAAGTACCACAACATAAATGTAGATAAACGGAATATAATACATACATCGAATAAATATATCAACAATCCATTTAGCGACCGCTTATTGCCACTCGATGCCACTCGTAACGCCCAATGGCGCTCAAGTGCCCTATATCACGGGCACGTAGCTGTTCGTAGGCGTCCGTAGGCATACGTAGATGTACGTTGACACGCGTAGACAGTAAAGTGATGTGTACGACACAATAACACGTTATCAACACGTCGAACGTTCGAATGTCGGTATTTCGTATTCATAGAGCAACATTCACTCAGACGTGCCGGGCGCCCGATTCGAAAGTTCTTTAAAAATGGAAGTCTGAAACGCCATCGAAAGGCACACAAGCAATTTTCAATCTTAAT